GCCCTTGTCAAAGCCATAAACGGTTTGAATGCCACTGCTGAAAAGGAAGCCTGGCCTTGTTTGTACTATCAGATCTAGCCGGGGGGGGTTATTCTGTAAAAGGCTGGGTTCTGTTGCAGTGCCTAGGTGACTGGCTAGTGTTGACTGAGAATGCGTTGAACTGGTTCCAGCCGTACTTGATTGCTTTCCCCAATCAACATAGTAGGGTAAATTCTCCTCGAGAGCAGCCAGTTTCACATAATGACACTTGATCCCAGGGAGAATTCACCAGCAGCCTGACTTAGTTGGCACTGATGCTTTACGCTCTTTCTCTTGCCTTTCAGAGAGATATATGAGATGCATTAGAGCAGCGTATTAGAACTCCTTTTTGGCTTTGTTGAAGAGGACTATATTTCTAAAGCTACCAACAATCAGATATTCAGAAACAAAAGACTTTCTTTTGCAGTCAAGATTATTAATAGAGATAAAACACTTGTCTGTACCTGTTAATTTGAAGTCAGACTTCTTTTTAATTTTATTTTTTTTAAAGAGGCCTGAATTCCGTTTGTAAATCTGGAGTGACAATGCTGACACCATTAGATACATACAGTTGTAAATAACTTAAAAGGAAAACCTGACTCAATTGTCTGAAAACCAGAAGTCACTGAATAACTTTCCACAGGACTTCAGTTTACATTCATGACCAGTAACATTTTTAGTGTAAGACACTCCAGGTCTTCTACTACTCACATCCACTCCAGTTCAACCAGTAGCCTGGTACCATTTTAACCCTGAAGAAATTTTCTCTATTACCTGGCTTCTCAGGCTGTAGCAAAGCTGTGATCTGGAGAGGGATTGCAAACTTTAGACCAAAGGCCTGAAAAGGTGCTTAGCCTCATATCTTTCTGAATCTCATCAGTGAGAAAACAGATCCCTCAAAATTACTCTCAACAATATCATGCACAATCTGAAATTAGCACGCAATGAGATTACCTGCAAATCCTCCGGTCTGAGTTTATCACTAATTTCACTAAAGAGGCCAAGCTATGGAGGAAATTTGGATCAACCTTCAAGTTTGTAACAGATATGGTGAGAACTAGTCACTATAACTTAAGGGTCTGAGAAATCAGAATATGATTAATAGAAACTTTTGTGAACTTTGTGGATACGAAATGTGCAGTATGCAAAAGAACAATCCTGAGTAATTAATTTATGCATCAACTTTCTCATGTGTCTTCATGTGTCCATGAGCTGAGGTAAAACCTGTTATCTTCAAGGGGCCTATGAAAGGGTTTTTTTCTGGTTTTGTACTTCATAACATAATAATTTGAACTAGTATACTAGATTTAAAAAGACAAGGTACATTCATGTGCAATGGGAACCTAAACAAATCTGAATTTGAAACCCTTATTTCCCATTAAAAAAAACAGAAAATAATTAAATTCAAGCACATCCTTTTTTTGTAACTAGAATTATGTAAGAAATGTATGCAATGTATATAAACATACATTAAATCTATAGGACATTTCAGTGCTCCATTTTCACCCATTTCATGGCCATTAGTAACTTCAATAGAAAGTTTATTAACCTGTAGTGATAAATTGAAGAGTAGTACTTCATAGATGGGATAAAGAGATCAGAATCTGACTTAGCATGTTTATTAACACTATTGGACAAGCTCTGTTTAAGAAACTAGATGGAAGTTTTGTCCTATCCATTTTTTATCCTATCCCTATCCATTTTTTCCCAATGAATCTTAATTTCTGTTCGGCGTCCCCTGATTTGTAAATCAGTCTTGTATTTTTCCTATGGAAATATCTAAACATTCGCATTGATAATATATATGCTTTGCTTTTAAATGCCCTTTTAATAGTTTCTTTTTTATGTTAGACTTCCCAAAAAACAATTGGACTTAGTACAAACTGATGGCTTCAGGTTTTGCATTATGGTTAACCACCCCATAGCAGGGCCCTCAAAGCAGACTTCTTGGTTCAGTAATGTGCATGCCTCTTGCCAATACCCTCATTGCTAATCATAACTCGGGAGAATAAATCCTGCTACAAGTTGAAAAACATTTTACAATTAACTTCTTTATATGTAGACCGTAAATACATTGCGTTATCTCACTTTGTTTTTACAGCCTCTTACCATGCTTCAAAGAAGCAAATTAGACATATAGTGCTGGGTGATAAATGGGAGGTAATGTTGCAAAGGACATATTTTAATGACCTGAGTTTGAAAGGATCATGTAAAGGTTCATCACTTTGATCATTTCAGAGAGACGAGACCACTGTTTTGTTGATTTGCTCTGCTTTGCTTTGTTTTTTGGTACTTCATAGTCTTACCTAGGCCATTGCACAAGGCAAAAAGAGATGGGATTTCACATTTTTTTAAGAATCCTTTCAACGGTTCTGAAAACATAGTTATTTTCCTGTATCAAGCTAACACTGTTTCAATGTCTAATATTTCATAATTGACCAAGACCAAATCAAGATGATTTGGTCAAGATTTCATTATTAAGATAATGTTAGCATCTTGCTGGGCACAAGAAGTATTTGCAGCTGCAGTAGGTTATGAGATACTGGGACAGAAACCTGTCTTTAGTCCCATTTCTGACCTACTGGCTACAGTAAGCTGTGAAGAAATTCCACTCTGAGGGAGGATAATATTTTAAAGATGGAGCAAAGGCACTATCCTTCTTCATATCAACAAGCTTTTTAGGGCAGAGGTCACTCAAAATTAGCCAGACTTTGAATCTTATTTCCATCTAGTGATATTTAGCCTTCCTTCTTTTTAAAATAAGGTTGACTAACCTTCCGTGATGCAATTAAATGTCCTTGAAACTGTGTGCACTTAAGTGGAAGGAAACAGATCAAGTAAACGCACTGCCAAATGCCTTATGGTCTCAGAGAAGTACATACAGCCGTCCTCTTCCTGCCAAGAGGCCCCCCTTGCTCCCACTGAGCTCAGTTATGGACCTGAATATGTTCTTACTGCTATCAGCAAGAATATTTTACTCATCCATCCCACAGACTTCGGTTTTTAGATCTGCATCTTCTCTGACTCACACAAAACATTTTTTTAAACGTGTGCTGAGAAATCCCAATTTAAAAAAAAAAACTGGTTAGGATTGCATACTGGTTTGGGCTGGAATAGAGTTAATTTTCTTCGTAGTAGCTAGTATGGTGCTGTCTTTTGGATTTGTGACCAAAACAGAGATGATAACACAGGGGTGTTTTCATTATTGCTGAGCAGTGCTTACACAGAGTCAAGGCGTTTTCTGCTTCTCACCCCACCCCACCAGCAAGTAAACTGGGCGTGCACAAGAATTTGGGAGGGGACACAGCTGGGACAGCTGACCCCGACTGACCAGAGGGATATCCCACAACATATGATGTCATGGTCAGCAAGAAAAGCTGGGGGAAGGAGGAGGAAGGGGGGACATTTGAGGTGATGACGCTTGTCTTCCTGAGTAACAGTTACGTGTGATGGACTCCTCCTTTCCTGGAGATTGGAAATCTCTTAATTGGACTTGATGGTCTTAAAGGTCTTTTCCAACCTTAATGATTCTGTGACTCTGTGAGATGGCTGAACACCTGCCTGCCGATGGGAAGCAATGAATGAATTCCTTATTTTGCTTTTCTTTACCTGTCGGTCTGTCTTTATCTCATCCCACGAGTTTTCTCACTTTGATCCTTCTGATTCTCTACCCCCATCCTGCTGAGGGGAGCGAGCAAGCAGCTGTGTGGGGCTGAGCTGCCTACCGAGGTTAACCTACAGCAGACAGCTGAGTGGCGATAATACCATATTATTTACAACACCAAGCACTTAAAAACATGAATGGTAAAAACATTAGAATTCATATTCTGGCTACTCAGGAATATCTCATTTTCATTAGATAAGGGCAAAGGGATGGCACTCTAGCCAAGGCAAAACTTCCTTCTCTGAGAGAGACAAGGACATGGCAGTAACCACAGTACGAGCTGGGAAGAACCAGGACGTGTTTTAGCTGAGTTGAGAAAGAAGGCCGTCTCCCACATCCATGAGACCGGAAGAATCTGCCAGGGTCAGGAAATGTGAAGACATTTATGAGAAGCAACAACTGAAGATGCCATGTTATGGCCTGAAATGACATGGCAAACGGCTGAGAAAGGTGCAATAGGGAGAGCTTGTGGGAGGAGATGAAGAAATTTGCTTCAGCCGTGAGGAGCTCACTGAGGTGGTGACCAGACATTGCCAAGAAGACATCAGTTTGTGCTTTCAGTTTGAATGGAAGCGGGTAAGTCTGGATCAGAAACAGACTTGTGGGTCTCAGCACAGAGACAGTGGTTGGATTTGTGCCTGGCAGTCGGAAGGTCAGGGAGGTTAAAGAAGGGATGGAGTCTCCGAGATCTGTGTGAGGAGAAATCAATGGAGAAATGGGCACAAGCAACGCCCCTGGAATGGCAGCAGGCGGCCCAGCACGGAGTCAGAGAGGAACTCCAGGCAGCAGAAGTAAACAGCATTCTCAGCATGCTACAGATAAGAGAGAGAAGGGGGGTGAGATGGTAGCTGTGGAGGCAAGCAGGTTTGACGTGTGTTTTCAAAGTGGAGAGATTAAACATACACTTGTTTCGAGAAGAGGGAGAAGCCAAGGGAAATGACAGTGTACAGAGAGGAATAGAAAAAGAGGTAAGGAAGCACCACGGAGATGATGGAATAACTTGTTCCGCTTAATGCTTGCATCCGTTTTGCAGATCAGAACTGAACTAATTTGGGAAGCGGTTTATATAATCCATAAAAATGCATTTTATTAGCTTTTTTTTTGCTCTGAATCACTGACTTCTAAAGAATGAGAACAGCCATAAATGCTATTGTCTCCACAGGCAGCAATTTGGAAATAGAAGATGCATGGTTACATGATATGTGTATTTTCTTCATAAAAAATATTTGCAAATCAGGTTTAAAATAAGGGAAAAATAACTTGAAAATATTCTGCACTTCAGAAAATAATAAAATGTCTTCTTATTTTCCCCTGGTAGGCCACGCAATGCAGATTACTTTATGCAGGAAGCTAAACGGAAGAAGCATAAAGCAGATGCAATGGTGAGAACATTTTCTTTCCAGTTATGTTGCTCCAAATTATTTTTGTAATGCAGTTTCTTCATCAGTGCAATATTGCTGGGGTAATTATAAAATCTATTATAAGGATGGCTAGGCTTGTTAAATTAAGAAATGTTTATATAATCAAATGTTCATAGCCCAATAAACTATGACTTAACAAATAATGACTTGCTGAGATAAAGGCCTGGATAAATAAAACTTTCCATTTATTCCTTGGCTTTAATTAGTAACTGCAGTAACGGAGGCTGTGGAAGGGATCCACATACCTATCTTTCCGGTTTACCTAGCTGGCTAGGTCTTATAATTGTACCCCCAAATTTGGTCTGCTGGCTGAGATATTTGTACTTTTTTTAAAGAACTTTGTCTCTTCAGTGCCGAAAGGACCCCGGCAGAGTTCGTGGCAGAGCTCTCCCAACATAATCACAAGCACACAAGGGATCTGTGTAACCCTGGGGGAACACCTTGCACACAAAGACTGTTGCAAGAAACAGATTCTTGGCCTTGCTTTGACCTGTCTAAAAATGTAGTCGGTAAGAAAAGGGGGAATGTGAGGTTAATATGGAGCACTAAAGAGACACTTGTCTTTCCAAGCAAAGGGGTGCAACAAAGTACGCAGTGCTCCAGGAGAGCTCTGCCTAGCCGCCTCTCAGCTCTCTCCAAGGCTGCATTTGTCCAGCACCATGAATAAGCGAGCACAGCTTTAAAAACATCAGGCTTCTGGGGTGGCAGATGCAATGTATGGGGTGAGACCCCCCATTAGTATGGCTGTCTTGCAGGTGGGAGTAGCTGCAGTCCTGCCTTGCTCTGTCAGACAGACACTCTGCGGCCACAACAGCAGGAAAGAAGAAAGCTAGCTCAGTGCCTCTGTTTCTTCACCTCTTTTTCTCAGCTGTGCAGAATCTAAAAAGGCCAAGGAAGCAGAAGCAGGCCCTTAATTTAGGACACTAACACTGATTTTACACTCTACCTGAGTTTATTAGTACAAATTTCCATGGTTTATTCAGTTCCAGATTGCTCTAAAGTGAGTCTTAAATCAGAAAATATTGTGGAGAAGTACAAATGGTGCATTTTAGTGTGTTGCTTTAAACAGAATGGAAAAAATCGCTTAATATGCAAAGGAAATTCTTAGCCTGAAGAGAAATGTTTTTATGGTAGACTCCCAGAAACAGGAGGTGCAAGCATTATTCTCTGCCACAAGTTTACTGCATGGAAGTGACTTAGGCACAGTTTAAATAGCCTCCCATCAGTATTAGGTAACTGAAATATCCTTCACATTCAGCTTCCCTGCACCGTGGACCAGCACCTTACTTACACCTTGTGAATCACCCTTTGCTGGTACTTCCTCTCCCTCCTTGACTGTGTAGGGATCCTGGAGGAATTGCCATATTGCCAAAGTGCCTCCAGGCACTTCGAATCACCTTGCTGGGCTCCATACCTCCTACTTTCGCACTGCAATATCTAACATAGAGTAATTTTCAGGCTGCTCACTCTAAGTGCCTAAGCCTCTCTGCTCCTTAGTCCCCCCATCTGTGAAATTGGGATATTTGGAGAGCACTTCCACCCTCACAAGAGTGTCGGGGAGAGAAATATAATAAAAAGTTTGTGAAGTTCTCTGGTATGATCGCAATGGGAGTCGTAAGAGCCTAAAATAGATTGAAGCCAGTGTGCCATTCCAAAGTTGCTATTTAAAATCTTTATCCCTTGGAAAAGAATAAGGTCCATTAACCTTTCACTGCATGCATCAGATTTCAACCAAATGCATCCAAGTCCATTAATGGGCTTTATGTACCGCAGGAGTTCTGACTGAAGGAAAGAGAAGTCAGGACAGAGAGGTATTAGTATGATTCATCTCTATCCACATCAAAAATGAAATTCTGAGAGCAGATAAGTGGTATGTGAGTGTACACATATGAACATTAGGTGCACATTTGCATATACACCATCATTGAGGAGTATATCCATGTAAGTACACAAATACACAGAAGAAATGGGGCAAGGAAGGAGGATGGCAGAAGCAGCTGAGGGAGCAGAGCAGTCCCTGAAAGAGGAGGAGAATATAGAAAGCAAATTCCTGACAAGAGGAAGGTGTGGCCAAGCAGTGCTGAAAATGGTAGGGATAAAGACGACATGAGAACAGAGATGAGCCTTTGAATAAGAGTAGTCAAAGTATTTAATTTGCATGCTCTTAGTTCAAGATAATTATTACCTTTCTTTGTTGAGTGAGGAAAAACTACATTTGCAAAGGTGTGTGAAACCCTTTTTAAGGAAAGCTGGAACAAAAGGCCTTGATGAGTTTTTGGAATTTCCAGCACTGGAAGAGCTTTGACAAACATCTCTCAGAAATGTCCCAGGCAGAGTTGATCCTTCTTTGGACACAAGAGTGTGGGCCAAATAACATCTCGTAGCCTTTTTCAGCTCTACTTTCTGTATCTTACGATTTTCACTGATGCACAAGGTTTGATGGGGTTTAGCTTTATCTTTTATTTTTATATTTTAGGAAAAATTGTGAATCTGAAGACATACCAACTTGTATCAAGTTTACAATTAACGTTGAGAAAATCCCATGATGTAACCATATCTTGATGATTACACTATTTCTCTGTGTCTTTATTTTTTTCCCTCTAGGTGGAAAAGTTTGGAAAGGCACTGAATTATGCAGAAGCAGCACTATCGTTTATTGAGTGTGGAAATGCAATGGAACAAGGCCCAATGGAATCTAAATCCCCTTATACAATGTACTCAGAAACAGTTGAACTCATCAGGTAGGAAGGGAGGAGATGACTTCAGGGGTTACGCTGTTTGTGCAAACATGCTTATCTTACATTATCACATAATTCCCTAGATACAGTAAAAGAGAAATGAGGTCCTCCCAAGTGCCTGGTCAGTCATATGCAATACGTATGTATTATCTGTGATTTCTATTGAAATTAAATCAGGAAAATGTGTAGAATGGAAAAAAAAAAAGAAGAAACAACCCAGAAAGCTTTTCATATTATTTGAGTTGCAAATTACTTCAAGGGTTTCATGATATGTCCCATGCTACTCAAAAGGGAAAAATAATAATTCATAATACCAGAACATTCTCATGGAGCAGTAGTTTGCAAAATGTTGCAACGTGTTTAAGGCTGCAGTTTAATGGTGACCTGAAAGAAGATGTGAACAGTGATAGAAGAATGGACACTCAGGTCCATTTGGTGAGTATGCTCCTACTGTAGCCAGCGGAGTCCCGAAAGCAGTCCAGCTCACACTAAAGCTACCCTTACATTTAGTCACCTTCATGGCTCTCCAAACAGGACAATCTAGAATTCAGTCCCACCCGTAGATCCTATGAAGAAAGTTTGCCTCTTAAGTCCTTTTCTCCGTTCTAGTTGGTACGAATAGTTCCCATTATTGACAGTGTCGGTAGAAAAAACAAAGGTCAAAAGCCTGCCAGCAGCTGAGTGACTCCCTTTGCAAGAGAGCGAGCCCAGCCACGCTAGGAGAGAAAGCTGCACTGTCAGAAAGATGCTCGATGGCATCATTCCTTAGGACAGTCAACCATGCAGCTCTTATCAGGACTAAGTTCATAGGAAGTAAAACATTTTAACTTTTTATCATATTCATAATGGAGCGAAGCTTCTAAAACAATTGCATTCTTTTGGACCCAGTGCTGATGTGATGATTTTCTTGCATGTTAGCAATTCTATTGGCATTTTATTCAACTTAGGGCTGTCTTCTCATGCATTTCAGTGGATTGAGGCCAGCTTTCTAATTGGAAGGTTATTAAACAAAATCAAATACTTTTTTCAGTAAGAGGATAGTATAACACATCTCTGCAATTCTTCTCTTTTTTTTTTTTTTTCCTGAAAGGCAGAAAGCTCTTTCTTTGTCTGCCTTGTCTTTTCTCATGATAGTAAATATATGGTACTAACTCTGGAAATGAATTTTGCTTGCAGATCCATAGCTTTCAATAATATGTGGAGCTGTGGTTGTTGTTGTAGTATGAATTGCTGTTGATCTCACTTGCTGCAGCTCAGAAAAATAAGTGGTTTACTAGGTGTGCCTGTTGAAACGAAATGTTCATACGGAATCTTTGCCCAGGTATCAGGATTAAAGTTGGAAAGCAAAGATAAGACAAAACACAAGCAGCTAATTATGGGGAACAGGTATTTTTCTGGAAGCAAGCCCAGAAGTGCTGTGTGTTGTCCTAACCTTGTCCATTGTTCAGGTATTCAGCTGGAAGCTGAGATTTCCAGAAACTAATTTGTGATTGCATAGCACATACTCTCTTGAAACAGCAGTGCTACCTCTGTGGATGTTTAATATTTATAGAATCTGAATGTAATGTCATATGAGCAAAAATAGCTGTGAGCCACATGTTCCCCCTCTGCTGTGCTCTGCTTGGAGGAGCAAATCTGGGCAGACATACTCCGAACCGGCAGGGTGAGGGCAGGCTGTCTGCCTCAGACGCCGTGAAAACCTTTCTGCGTGAACTCTGTGTAACTGGGTCTCCACAGCAGCGGAGATTATATTGGTAGGACAGCATCACCTCGCCAGCTAGGCTCCCCTCCGGACTGAGGGGTGTTCAAGGGCTGTTTAAAGAGCGCAGGGAGGCACTGTTACCGGCTAACTAGCTCTGAAACACAACCAGAAAAGCATATGTATGTTTGGTAACTTGAGCAAATACGTATAAGGGGGCAGATCAAATGACACTGGCCAGCTTAGCTCTCTGATCAGTAATATAAAGCTGTCTCAGTTAACTCACATTGGCTTTTTTTCTTTTGCTTAAGGTATGCAGTGAGACTAAAAACCCACTCAGGCCCCAACGCCACGCCAGAAGACAAACAGCTGGCAGCATTATGGTTAGTAGATCAAGATATCCTCAAATGGCTTCTTTTCTGCAGTGAGCCAGTTCTTGAAAATCAGATGCTGGACACAGCCAGATAGGATTATGTTGTCTTTTGAAATTAAAAGAATACTTTCTGATCCAGGAAGGTCCAGCCCTGGTATCGCTGTACCAGGTCTGCATTCCCTCTCTGTAAGTAAGCAATTCATACGTATTGGCTGTGACAGGTCAGCTATGGTATGTCAGCGTAATTAATCTTTAAGTGCCTGATGGTTTGTTGTTTTTATGAGTGATGTACTGCTCTACCAACAGTTCAGTAGTTTCTTTTGGGGATGACATTTTAGGCTCAATAATCATAAATTGTATTTACATTGTATGAAGGGAGATACGGTGATGATGATAATTAAGCTTCTTGGATTACCTTCTAAATTGAGATTTCCAGATATATATGCACGCACCTTAGATTCTGTGCGATGGTTGCTGATTGCTAGTAAAATATCAAAATGTTATTAAAAACAAATTTTAATTTAATATCTGTGTGGTTAATACATAAAATACCTATTACATGGTTACTGATTCTCAGTAAGTGGACATTTACAGTCAGCAAGTGTGTTTTCAACATCTATTAACCATCTGTTAAAAATCCAAATTAAATAAATCTTTAGCCTCCATAAATAAGGACTTAATTAATTATTTGTATTAAAAAAGAACAAAATATTCAGAGAAGCAAATGTTTTTTTTAAATGCCCTTTCTTTGTCACTGGTTTACCGTGCCGATTGGGAGGAGCACAGAACGGGTTCACGGCAATTGCTTTTAAAACGCTTCGGGGGGGAAATTACTACAGAACGGGTGGGGAACAAAAAAATAAATAAAAATAAATAAAGCCATATGACGAAGGGTTGCTGAGAACTGCCGGAGCGCTTCGGCGCGCGGGGAACCGCATCCCGGTTGCCGGAGCCCCCGCACCGGTTTCAGCAGAAAGGTCGGCGTGAGGGAAAGCAGCGGGTGCCTTCGCCCCCGGGCCGTGACTGGCAACCCCGACCCGGCGCCCGCCAGCCCCAGGACAGC